AGCTGCCTCAGCGCTAATGGTTTAACGGATGAGGTCTCTGCGCGTTTTCAAGGCTCGGGTTGTTTTTGGCAATCTCCGCCATCTCTGGCGCCAAGGTGATCTGAGTCTAGCTCTGAAGGGTCGAGTTTACAATGACACGGTGAGACCGGTTCTCCTCTATGGCTGCGAGACGGCCTGTTCGCGCAAAGGATGTTGAGAAGCTGCCTGTTTTGGATCACCGTTACTTTCGGAACACTGCTGGTGTACCATGGCAATATCACACTAGGAATGAAGATATTCGACGAAGGATTTTTAGATCAGACAGACTTGCCGGCAACTGAGCAGCATAATTTTTCTGCGCAGACTTCAGTGGCTTTGGCACGTTCTCCGCATGCCTACTCATCGCTTACCTCACTGTGCCCTCTTCGCGCACTCAGAAGTCGGCTGCAAGCGAAAGCAAGGTGGCCAACATATGACTTGGGCCAGGAACATGAAGTAACTAACGTCAAAGTTAGCCGTGGTCGGACGCTCTCGGTTACCTGGCTGGAGTGTGAAGGATCCGGAACACACATGACTGGAAACGTTCTCGGATATGGCAAGAAACCGTGCACAATGGCGGACTTGTTGTAACTCACTATTCTCATGAACATTGATCTTTCTCCTTCTACGTATGTTTATCGTATTTTCCATACGTTGTGGCGCTACCAATTTTAATATTGGCCGGATTGAATATATATATATATATAGCTAATTTAGTAGTGAAGAGCAGCCATCTCTCCTGTGATTTGTCATGTCATCCATCCAGTCAACTCGCTCAGAGTTTTCCATCAGCAGCTGTGACAGTACCGTCCAAATCGCCACGAGGTGTAACACAGACACACTCTCCATCCAGCTCCGACTTACCAGGTGATTGTCCTGCCGCATCATCATCATCATCATTATACACGTTAGCTGCAGGTGTAAAACGCCAGCTATTTTGCCGCAATACAAAAGACAAGAAAAGGAAAACAAACAGTGGCACGCCGGCTGAGTCCCCAGTAACGGATGGACATCGTTCCGGAGAGCTAACAGATGGCTATCGTGCCGTAAAAAGGGAGTTATATTATGCGTAACGAGTGAGATGGTGATTGGAGGGGGAAGGACAAAGGAACTCACAACACAAACGCCATTGGGGCCGGCTTCAAGCTATATCAGCAAGTGTGTCCAACCAAACGTGTTCACCGTCCTTAGGATCCCAGGCACGCAGTCGGGATGCACCAACCGACACCAACTTCAAGTGAGGGTATTCATCTCTCTCGATCAAGTCATCGCTTGGCCTCCCCTCCTCCTCTTCCAACCGCACCCACAACGCGCAAACAATGCACGTCGCGGAAGTCGGTGTGCTGGCATGCGCAACACGTGGCCCAGCCATCGGAGCCTGGTGCGTGATATAATGGTGCTGAGCGGTGCACTCGCTCTTCCTGCACCAAATACGCGGCGTCGAACACGCTCTGCTAACGCGGTGCTCCCACCAAACATGAACTAAGCTTTGAAGGCAGGGATGATAGAACATGACGAGCCTCTTGATGTCTGTCGACCTGATGGGCCAGGTTTCATAACCATATAGGAGAGTTGAACGGATGGCTGCGTTATAAACTCTGCCCTTCATGGCGAGAGTAATGTCGCGTCTGCGCCAAAAGTGGCGGAGATTAGCAAAAGCACCTAGAGCTTCTGCTATACGGTTCTTAACCTCATCTTCAATTCCACGGGTGCTAATATAGCTGCCCAGATACTTGAACTCCTGAACGACTTCTAGCAGATCATCATAAAGCGTTAGCGCAGGGTTGGGTCCCTGCCAATCTTGGAGAAGTACTTTGCATTTCGATGAAGCAAAGCATAGCCCAAAACGATTGACAGCCAGTGCTAATCGGTCCAGTGCTGCTTAACATGTTTGAGAGCTGTCACAGATTAGGGCAATATCGTCTGCACAATCTAAGTCAAGAAACCGCTCACCAGAAAGTAGCTCCACACTTTCTAGGTCGTGCCCAGCGAACGCTGTTCCCCTGACCTCATCAATAGCGAAGTTAAAGAGGAAAGGTGACAGCGGGCAACCTTGTCGCTGGTGATACTGAAGGGTGGCGACAGTTTGCCATAAACCCTCACTCTGCCCAAACTATGCGCGTACAGCGCTTTGAGAATGTCTACATATTTATCAGGCACACCTTTCCTCAGCAGACAGTTTCAAAGGGCACATCGATCGAATGAGTCGAAGGCACCTTTAATGTCAAGAAACACAACACATGGCGGTGCTCCAACAATTGACGCAAGGTGAAGATGTGGTCGAGGCAGCCCGACCTCGACGAAATTCGGCTTGCTCTTCACGAATCTGGCTTTCACGAGTGCCAATCAGTCTGTGGAGAATGACAGACGCAAGCAATTTAGAGGCAATCGAAATCAGACTGATCCCTCTATAATTACCGCATTCCGAACGGGAGCCTCTCTTGAAAACTGGGACTATGACCGAGCGGCTCCAGTCTGTCGGGACAGCCTTCTGCTCCCAAAGTTTCACTAGCAACTCTTGTAAATCATCTATTAGAGCAGGTCCCCCGAATTCGAAGAGGGTTGGGGGAATCCTATCTGCCCCTGCGGCTTTAAACAATTTCAACAGTCTGATCTCACATTCGACTACTGCGCGTGAGGGCGGATCCAAGGAGACGGCCCAGGGAGAAGGGCGCTCAATGCCCGACAAACAAACCAATAATTCAGGTTGGTTAAATTGCCTTGCAGTGTTCAGCCTAACGCTCCAAACGTTTTGACAGGCTGTGGATCGGCTGCCCACTCTCGTCGCGTATGGTCTCGCTAACACCTGTCTGTTTTCTGCATCAGACGGAATAACTTACGATGATTGCCAACAATAGCGGCTGTTTCCATCTCAGAGGTATGATGAGGCCACCAGGTTTCGCGGTCTTTCTTCAGGCTAGCACGTAGTTTTGCCCTGAGATTTTCGCGAGCCTCATTGCATTTGCTTCTAGCCGGAATACGTTGGCAAGCATGCATAAGTTCCAGAGAATGTGTAGAGACCCAATGTCCGGTTTTGCAATTTGTTTTGCCACATGAAGACATGCCTCCTAACAGTAAGGTTGGAAGAATATGCGACCAGTGATCCTCGACGGTGTTTAGTGGGCGCTTACTCAGCATAAATGTCAGCGCACTTTGATACACATTCAGAACACCTGGCTTCGCCAGCTGGCTGGTGTCAATCCGTTCACATCGACATTGCGAACGTCCACCGAAACGCACCCTGAGGTAGGCGCAGACAAGTGCGTGGTCCGAATCCACGCTCGTGTTCCAAATCGAGTGACAGTTTTGGACACAGCCTCTCCAGCGGTAATTAATGACGATATGATCGATTTGCGTCCATGACTGGTCCGAGGCTAGTGGCCGACAAGTCACGCTTCTGCGGGTGGTGTCGGAAGTTAGTGCTCACGAGAAAGAGGCGAGCATCTTCACACAGGTGTAGCAATCGCTCACCGTTATCATTACGGGAGCCTACACTATGTTGGCCGCCCAAATGAAGCTCATCAGAGAACAATTTTCCGACTTGGGCGTTTAGATCGCCAGCCAACACCACAGTATCCGTGCTTCTTCTGTAACGAAGGAGCTCGTGAAGTTGCTGATAGAAAGCATCTTTTACCGAACCAGTGCTACAGTTTGTAGGGCGTAGGCCGCAATTACAAACAGGCACCGTTTGTCCCCGCGCGACGATGTAGCACAGAACGAACCAGCTAACCCAACGGCGCATATCCTACTGGTTATTGGGATCCAATCGATCAGGGATGCTTCAGCCCGTGGATTCAAAACAATGCCGACGCCAGCTTGACCCGCATTTGAAGCTGCATCATCGCCAGACAGGCTCAATGAGAATGTGTCGCATGTGGGGGATCGCAAGGTAAGCGCGGAGCTCGAATCTTACAGGCGGGTTTCTGATTAACAGCAAATATCGATCGATAGAGTCTAGTGTGCAGGCAAGTACTGCCGATCGGCCAATCTGTAGCAAAGTGCGCACGTTGAAGCATGCCAGTCTTAGAGAGACGCGAGGACTTCTAAGGGAAACGGATGAACTGACATTGTCCGCTTGTTTGAACATGGACTTGTCGACTGGATTGGAGCGACGCCCTGCGACTGTGATTTGAAACAAGAATACAAGCGACTATAGAGGCAAGCTGGGGAGGCCAAGAATTGGGGGACTGAAAATGCGGAGGGGGATAAAAGTAAAGTTGGAGCGGAACGATAAGGTTGCAGAAGCGCAAGGGGGATTAGAAGATGGGAAGGCCTAAGCAGGAGCATCTATGAGCTATATACCCTGCTACATGCAGCAGATAAGGCGGGTTAAATATCCTCTGCGACAACCAGAGCATCAACAAACTGTTTGATGAAGGGTTCATAGTATTGCGTGGGAAGAATACTGTTTTTACCTAGGTCTAGACAGGAGAACGATTAGGGTTGTCAACCTAAGCCATTGGTTCACAAACCTTAGCGCAATGCAGCGGGTTTTGGAACTGGACTACAGAGAGCCCGTATTAAGAAATAAGAAGCCACCCTCATTCCAACCCCCAATCTGGAGAACCAGGAGGCTGTTTGTCTGGCCTCTAACCATTGGCCAATCTGATATGAGTGGGTGCAAAAAAGCACCACCCAGTATAGCTCAATGGATCTCTGAGGCACGCAAACCATCGTACCACGGTAAGGTCAAACCTCATTGCGATGGTCCTGCTGCCTACGAATTATCTATCTTGCCTTTCGGCCTCCTCGGTCTATTACGACTTGCGTACGCCACGGACACGGAAGTCATCGGGACCCGCAACCGGACGCATACCAAAAAAAAGCACAATAAAATGGGGAAATTTCAGGAAAAAAATGATAGTGATTTGCAGGTGCTAATGCAGACAAAAGAATAAGACGGATATAAAAGTGCAAAAAGGATAGTAAGATGCAAAGGGCGCTATACAATACAAAGAAAGAAATGTAGCAAAGTCGCTCACATTTACAGAAGATGAAGTTCCGATGGGTCTCGGGGTTGGGCGAATGCTGGAAACAGGAATCCGGACAGACACCGGTATTTGATTCCCTAAGAATTAAGAAAAAAATCAGTGATGTGTGAACATTGCGGTAGCAATGCAAAAGCGCGATAATCCTGGATGCATCGTGACAAGGACTCCATGCCCAAGAGGACAAGCACGGAAAGCTAAGGAGTAACTCACCGGCAAGCCTCTCACCCATTTTTCTCAAAACGAGCGGGTCTGACCCAACGGTAAATTAAAACAAAACTATTTCTATACTTTGAAAAATTCAAGCAGCAACTAAAACCAAGTTTAAACGTAAGGTGGTTTATACCAAAATGATAAATGTAAGTATAGTTTCTACACCAAATTTTGGTTTCCTCCTTTGCGGTAACTTGAATCCTAGCGTTACGTTCCGATGATGTTCCGTTAGTCCGCATTGAGTGTAACTAAAAATTGTTTCGCTGAACAACTATAATATCATAAGCCTTCTGACGGCACTTGTCAACTGGAATGCAAATTTTTGTTTTGAATCAGTGTGCAATGACTAAGTGAAACTGCTTTTGTTTTAACACAAAAGTTGGTGAAAGATCGTTGCCCTGGTATATAAGAGCCTGTTCAGGCGCTTGGTCATATTGCATGCTTGGTATGGCTAAGGCGTGCGCTTCCAATGTCCTCGTGGTTGACTGTGCTCTTCGAATGTTGTTTGCTTTATGTGAATTTCGACGACTTCAGAAGTGACACGCGCTGTTTAATAGAGAGGTAGCTATTCCTTCTACATCTAGGACTCGTTTACTGCAAAAATGTACGCTTTATGTTATCGCGGAAAACGCTTAAAAAGTTGGTTCCCTTATTACGAAGTGCAATTCACCTACGTTCACTTTGGACGGGGGAACTGTGCAGCTGCCTGGTGAGTGTATACTTAATTCATATGCCACTTCAGTTCCAGATACCGTAGGCAGAATTGCAGTTTGTGCTGGATCGCACCATCACCGGGGCTTCTAAGATGGTGCGTAGCTGTATGCAACACAGGCACTCCTTCCGTGTTGGTAAGCTTTGGCTGTACTTCCGCAATCATCGGTTAGCGCCGAGTAATGTGATGGAGGTGTACGGTTCAACGGAATGTTTTAAAAGTGTACGCGAAAGCAAAGCTTGGGGCATACTGAATTTCATGTGAGATGGGAGCGGCATGATATTTACACCGTCCGTAAAAGTCAAAACAAAGGTCTTAAGCAGGAAGTGACCGTAGTACTAGACGACTTGCTGCAGACGGTTGGAAGTCTTCAATTTGTCGAGCTTGATGGCTTAGTGCGTTTTGTGTTTTTGTCCTCTTAACAGTTCGTGCACCATGTGACCAACATACGGTTGTTATTCATGCCGATGCACCACACAGGCTAAACCGGGTTGAGGCTCCTTTTTGCATACCATGCTGTCGATGAGACGGGATTCAGCCACAGGGCTTTTACGCCTTACTGCCAAACGAGTGCACCAGCAGCTATCGTGAAGCCGCTCGGTACATATCCACGGTACTATCGATCCCCAATAATTGCAAGTCCTACGTTATCACTCGTAGTCATCCTCAACTTTCCGTTGTTAAGGCAACTTATGCAGGGGCTCGTGCTGTGGTCTGTGGGTTCCACTTGTTGCGTGACTTTAAGAAGCGCTGCGGCCAGTTGGGGGTCTGAATATGTGATAAGAACCGTTTCTTTCAGTGGATGAGGAACCTAGTGTACACAACTTTGAGCGGCAATTCCACGCTACTTTCAACGCCATTGGTGCCGTCTGTCTTGAAGTTCTGCGCTATATGAAAACCACTGGTCTTCCGTACAAAGAATATTGGGCCGGTTATATGCTGACTGATGTTCATTTGCCGTGTAATCACAGAACAAATCACGCAATAGAAAACCGTTATCCCTGGGTAGATTTAACTCCAATATCCAGTGTCTCGCAGCTATTTACTGCTGGCTTACAATGTGTAAGAGACGAGGATCGCAGTCGCGGGAGCCGTCTGCTAAATCGTATACTAGCACACCTAAGCTTCACAACTGGTTGACCAGGGCTGCGGCCATGTTTCGGTGCAGTACACTGTTCACCCGCATTATTATTGGGAGGCAGTTCAGTACGGAGTCTGTAACCTACGTGAGGTAGGTACAGGGAGGTTCGTCTGTGCTTAGTGGCCGTGGCAAGGCGGTTGGTTTATCGTTACTGGATGCGCCTACTTGTCATTCTGCTTTCTCAAACCATTGGCTCTACCATGCCCTTACGTTATGCATGTTTACCGTCTGACACGATTACCAATAAAGTGTGATAAAAACCATCCGATTAGCCTTGCAGCTGCACGGAACATCCGTATATCCTGTACTTCCGACGCACCCGTCCGTTGCACGCGTTTTGACAAGTAATGTTACTACGATTTCTGATGTTAAGCGGCCTGCTGTCAAAGAGGAGGTCAGTAAAGCTTTGTTATTCGTTCTAGTCAGCTTAAATGACTCTGCTATTCCCGTACAATTATACGCAGTAAGAAGGTTTGTAGAAGAGTTGAGCAAACGACCTGGTCTAGTTATACGGTGGCAGGATTGACGGAAAGGTGATGCGTCGAACTCCGGAAAGTCCAACAAGCCATTAGCCAAATTGTTCGCTTGTCTCCGTCGACGCATCAAGGACACTGAACCCTGCGGCCTCATCGGTACGTGCTTTGGATCTCCCTATGAAACCAACTCGAATGATCGCATCCTTAAGATGATGCAATTTCAACGTGATTCACAAGAACACGAATGCGGACGAAAGTATTGTAAAATAAATAAATGAATAGTTTATTCACGGCAGTGCGAGGCATGCCTTTAAAGGCATATGCATGGTAGTGCAAACATGTATGATCGGTAATTGCACAGAAGAATTACATTTTAAACAGTAACATATGTGTATGTGTTCATGTTTTCGTTTGTGTGTATGTGCAACTAGTCATGCCGAGTAATTTTGTTAATGAACTCTGAATTTCTGTTTTGCTCATCGAATTCTCCGTCGAGGAAAGATCAAAGGAAGACTATGAATTGCATGACGTACGTGATGTGCGTAAGGTCCTCCGAAAAGGCAAGTAGCAGTGACTTTATTTAGTTGCGAGTCTCATCTACCATGTCGCAGTGCTTTTAGCAGACATTTGTCACTTTTTATAGGAAGTACGCTTGCCAGGCGGAAACCCACCGCGTCCTGGAACACCGCCGCTAAACCATCTGCTGGTTGCATTTCCACTGAAGAACTTGAGAGTTCAAACACTGGTCGACATATCACTCGCGATAACGGATGAAGGAACGCGAAGTGGCCTTGAGCTTGGACGGCCTCCCATACAACTGGATGTTTGCTTAATATCTCAACGAACGAAGACCGCTTCCGTGGACTTCGAGCTGCTTATGGTTCAATACCATCCATACCGCATGCGTTTTCAGCAAGTGTGTGCAGGTTGCTTTGATGGCTCAGACAAAAGAACTGGTGTCCAGTGCATGTGCATTGGACACTAATTAATCATTGAAGGAACTAGAAAACACTTCCACGGTTCTTTCTAGGGACACAACGTAATGATTACCCACCTTGCCTTATAACCTAAACCATCCTTGTGGTGCAAATATTTGGGTATGGAGTACACAACAGAGGTTTAGTGGTCCCATGGCAGTTCCATGGTACTCGCCGAAGAAGAAGCATGCACTGGTGAATGCACAGCCTACCTGCCCGGTATTTAGTGAGCCTATAGGGTTTCCTTGGCAGTGGTATTGTTTTATAAATAGCTAAATAACTACAATTCTTAGCCTCTATTGCTTCGAGGTAGACCAAATCGTGCGTGCTAAAAATATCGCCAATGCATAGGTCTGATTTGCAGGCTTCACCGCCTAAGTGGAAGGTGGTTAGTGAGGCTAAACTGATCCAATAGCCGTTGCAGCGTTATCGCCAAGGTATAAGCCTGAATTACAGGCTGAACAGCCTACGTGGCTAGTAGTTAGTGAAGCCGTACGTATGCAACGACAAGGACATTGTTATCGTGATTGAGGAATTCTGGTTTGCAGGCTTCACTGCATACATGAATGGTCTTCCTTTAGCCTATGCTGGTGCAACGGCCGTGGCATTGTTATCCATAGCTGTTTTTGGTAGCACGTTGAAAAGGCGTGCGTGCCTTGACCCTGAACGTGTACTTAGTGCACTGAGTCTTGTCGGTAACCCCTTATTCGCCCCCTCTTATTATTGTTCGTTCCGTACTTCGTTATGGTTGTATGGCAGCAAAGCAACACCCTGCTTGGCTGATGTGTAACTGCTTGTGAAGACGTTTGCACGCTATTCTTCTACATCAACCAACCGCGATGTATTTGGCAAACGATCAATCTGACTAATTAGAGGTGCGCTCCATACAACCGCTGGACATGGTAAGTCAGCTAGGGTTTCATCATTGCATATTGTGAGCACGTGTTGCTGTGATACATTACAAAACACCATTTGCCAGCACTTACGCACTCTGGGTCAAGAGCGCTCTACACGGTCCGCATGATGGTGTGAATATTTGGAATTGGTTTAAACGTTTGCCTTGCAGCTATTGGCATTTTTCATTCGAAGTACCATCCGGTGGATATGCGCTGATATCTTGCAACCTGTGCCGATGTTGAAGGACCCAAGCTGGTTACATAAACTAGCTGGCTAGATGGATCTCGGTTGAACCCTCAGTGATTGGTCAGTGACCCGGCAAGTCCTATGTAAAGGGTCCCAGGCGGCTTTCACTGGATCAAAGCGGCGAAGCTGGTGGTTGAGAGACCGAGGCCATGTCAGTTGGAGAGTTTGAGCCAGTGCATGAGTACCAAGTCGCTCTTTATGGAGTAACAGACTCCAGGGCTGGGGTTTGAGAGCAAGGGCTCGGCTGTGGTCTATTAAGGGTTAGTATACTAGTCCCGCATGCAAGTTACAATAGCAACAGTCACCGCGGTTCGTGGATGAGCGACAGCGGCTTGTTCGGTAGGGGATTCTGAGCCAATGTAATAGTACCCAAGCGTATTACACTAAAACGCATGCACCAAAACTAGTGGAGTTCAGTGGCACAACCAATGCCGCTGCTATTGTACCAATATCTTCTAACAAAATACCGGGCAACTTGGCGTTGATGCTAGCTGTGCAGGCACGTTCAACGAAGATAAGAATGCCGCTGGTATAAGAGGAACGTTCGCTCACTGCTAACAGTTAAGTAGGCGGTGAACCCAAATTTGGCGGT